TGACCGTGAACCTGAGGGAGGTGAACGTGGCCGTCCTATGAGCTGTGCCTTTGAATGCTTTTGTAGTGGAGTAGTGAAAGTCATTACTTGAGTGTTCAGTTCCAATACAGGATGAACGAAATTGATGTTTAGCTAACAAACAAATTTAGTACTAGAAATCAAAACGACAAGTAAAAAGAATGAAAATAAAAGCACAAGGTCCTCACTCACCAACCCAAAGATCCTAAAATTATACACCGCCTCATTTACTATGCCCTTGGCTACTTTCAGCATGCGATAGCTTAATTGTGCACGTCCACTTTTTAGCCCCACGAGCCGCCCCTGACCTAAAGATATCAATGTTTGCATTATTTATTTTCAAGTCAATGGCTGTGAATGTAGGATAAGACGTGGGGGGGCACGTGAGAGAGTGTGTGTGTGTGTGTGTGTGTGTGGGTGTGTGGGTGGGTGGGGTGGGGGGGGATTAGTTTGAATTGCTCTTTTCTTATCTTGAGCAATCATAAGACAGTCAAATTACAAACAGGGGTATTGATATTAAACGTTTACCACTCTGTGGCTTTATTCTTGTTTTCTTCTTTATGTTGGTCAAATTGCCAGTTTAGGCGACAAGACTTATAAGATTTTCCTATGTAGTCCAAAAATACATGCCAAACAGGTTGAGAACTACATCTTTAGAATCCAAAATGTTTTAAATACAAGATGAACAGATTAAAAGCCAGAACTTCAGGATCTTTTACTCTAACAGTAACTTTCTATTTCTATAACATAACATTACAAAATCATGCACTTTACCAAAAGGGAGCTTCCCGTGAGGTCAACAACTCTTGTAACCTTAATGGCTAATTAGTAGACTTAAAGAGCTCTCAGTATTCTCTGGAACCTCACAGTTGTATGATTGGTTGGGACCAGAATCTGAAGGGACATTCATAGAAAGAGATTCTAAATCAGGAGCCTCTCCCAAAAACTTATCTGCTTTTTCATCTAAATCTTCGAAAATTTCACCAATCGCTGTAGTATTAAAGTCTGTAGGTTCCCCAAGTAATCGTTCTTCATCTTCTTCTGTTAGTTCTTCAGCCATTTTAACATCCTCAGTACCAGAGTCAGCAGCTTTTGTAGTAGCAGCTAAATTCAAATTGGCAGCCCTCTCCTCAGCTTGTCTCGTGTCTGACTCAGGTGTTGGCAGAGGTTGTGATCCTGCTGAAAGTTTCCTTCGCTTTGCTGCACTGACAGAAGTGGGCTCACACTCATACCACTGATCACATTTTCCAGATAGATACATGAGAATGACAAGACAGCCAGATTTGAAAACAGACTAGTTACTCTCGAGAGGGAATAATAGTTCTTTCTGAGCTCATATTTGCTGTGAGCTTTGTTGCTACAAGTTTAATTTGAAATATGTT